TCTCTGACTTATTTCACTTGGCATAATACTATGTCCACCATTCTTTTTTTTTAAGGGTTTTATTTATTTTATTTTTATACAGAGGGGAAGGGAGGGTGAAAAGAGGGAGAGGAATATCAATGTCATTGCCTCACACACAGCCCCTACTGGGGACCTGGCCCACAACCCAGGCATGTGCCCTGAGTGGGAACTGAACTGGCAACCCTTTGGTTTGCAGGCCCGCACTCAGTCCACTGAGCCACACCAGCCAGTCAACCCTTCTTTTGTATGGCCAAGTAATATCTCATTGTATATATGCACCCCTTTTTTATCTTCTCATTTATTAATTGGCCCTTGGGTTGCTTTCCTATCTTGGCTGTTGAAAAATAATGCTGCAATAAACAGAGGGGTGAATCTCTTTTTTCAAATTAGTGTTTTGGGTATCTTCAGGTGTATTCCAAGAAGTGAAATCACTGAGTCATAAGGCAGTTTAATTTTTAATTTTTTGAGGAAACTCCATTCTGTTTTCCGTAGTGGTCGCACCAGTCTGCCTTCCCATCCACAGTACATGAGGGTTTCCTTTTCTCCACATCCTTACCAACACTTGTTTGTTGATTTATTGATGATAGTCCTTATAGGTGTGAGGTAAGAAGGGTGAGCCTGCTCTTAATGGAAGATAATATCATCTGGTGCCTCTGTGATTCTCTTATGTGTAGAGCCCAGTATTCAGTCTGACATTACCAGTCCTGTGAAGACAGAGCAGTGTGTGATCAACTAAGAGAAAAATCATTTTAGAAGCAGACCCTCAGATTATTCCAGTATTGGAGTTAGCATGTAAGTAGTTTAAAATAATTAAGATCAATAGCTTGACCACTCACACCCACTAGGATAGCTAAAATTAAAAAGTAGTTTAAAAAAAAAGGGTGTTAGCAAGTGTTGGTGAAGATGTGGAAACATTGTAATCATACACAGATGATGTGCAGCTACTTTGGAAACAGTTTGGTATTTCCTCAAGAAGTTAAATGCAGCCATGTGAGGAAAATGACACTGAAAACAAAAAAGGAAGTCCCCTGCCCCTGCCAAAACCAAAGCCAAAGCAAATGCTTTGAAGACAAAGAAAGCAGCGCTGATAGACATTCACAGCCACAAAAACGAAGATCTGCACGTCATCCACTTCCAACAGCCGAAGACACTGGCTCCGAAGGCATCCTGAATATCCTTGGAAGAGTGCCCCCAGGAGAAGTAAGCTTGACCACTATGCTATCAACAGATTCCCTCTGACTACTGAGTCAGCCGTACAGAAGATAGAAGACAACAAATACACTTGTGTTCACCGTGCATGTTAAGGCCAACAAGCACCAGATCAAACACAATGTGAAGAAGCTCAGTGACATTGATGTGGCACAGTGACAAGGTCAACACCCTGATCAGACCTGATGGAGAGCAGAAGGCATATGTTCTACTGGTTCCTGTGAGGCTTTGGATGTTGCCAATAAATATTGGGATCGTCTACACTGAGTGCAGCAGGCTAATTCTAAATATAAATATTTAACACTGTAAAAAAATTAAACGTAGAGTTACCATATGACATAGCAGTTCCACTCTTGGGTATATACCCAAGATAAATGAAAATATACATCCACTCAAAAACTTGTACTTAGTATGGATATTTATGTCAGTATCATTCTTAGTCGAAAAGAAGAAACAACCCAGATGCCTGTTATCTGATGAATGGATAGCAAAAGATGATGTATCCCCTTCCTGGCTGGGTAGCTCAGCTGGTTAGAGTGTTGTCCCTCTACATCAAAGTTTTGAATTCCATCCCTGATCAGGGAGTGTACAAGAGTCAACCAGTGAATGCATAAAATCAACCAGTGAATGCATAAATAAGTAGAACAATGGACTGATGTTTCTCTCTCCTTTTCTCTCTTCCTCTCTCTAAAAATCAATTTAAAAAGAAAAAAAAAGGGATGTATCCTTGCAACAAAATATTATTCAGCCATAAGAAGGAATGAAATTCTGATATATGCTGTAACATGAATGAAACCTTGAGAATATTTAACAATATAAGCTGTGCACAAAAAGGCAAATTTTTTATGATTCCACTTATATGATGTATTTAGAATAGTCAAATTCATTGATAGAAATAGTAGAGTAGACTTACCAAGGACTAGGGGGAGGGAGAGGAGTAGAAAGTTATTTTTTAATGGGTATGGGGTTTCTGGGGAGGTAATGAAAAAGTTCTGGATATATCTATATAGTGGTGGTATTTGCAGAACATTTGTGAATGTACTTAATGCCACTGACTTGTACATTTAAAAATAGGAAAAATGCTTAATATATTTTTTAAGATTTTGTTTCTTAGGGAAGGGAGAGAGAAAAAGAGAAACATCAGTATGTAAGAAATATATCAGTGGGTTGTCTCTCGCATGCCCCCAACCAGGGACCTGACCCACAACCCAGGCATGTACCCTGACTGGCAGTCAAATTGGCAACTTTTTAGTTCACAGGCCAGCACTCAGTCCTCTGAGCCACATCATCCAAGGCACTTAATATTATTTTTACCACAATAAAAGATAAATATTTTTCTAAAGGAATGAACTACTAACACATGCTATGATATAGATGAATCTTAAAAACATTATGCTAAGTAAATGAAGTCATTCACAAAAGACCACATATTGTATGATTCTGTCCATATGAGATGTCCAGAATAAGGAAATCCAGAGACACAAACTGTAGATTTTTTGTAGTCTGAGGTTGTAAGGAAGGGATAGGTGCAGAATGGGCTTTAAGTGCTAACAAGTATGGGTTTTCTTTTTGGAGTAATGAAAATGTTTGAAAATTTTATTATGATGATGGCTCTATAGCCTTGAGAACATACTTAAAAGACATTGAATAGCACATTTTAAGTGGATGAATTTTACAGTATGTGGGTTATATCTCAATAATAATCTTACATAGATAATTATTAATATTAATGAACAAATAAGGTGAAAATGTTTACCTGAGAAAAGGTGAAATATCTATAATAATGTAATTAGAATCATAAAAAATAGAAAGGGGAACATAAGCAATAATTGAGCGATTGACCATAATGTTCCAAAATTGTTAAGCTTAACCAACTCTTAGATCCAAACATCTCTTTAATCCCATGCAGGATAAATACAAGTGGGTACTTCATAGTTAAAAACAACAACAACAACTAAAGACCAAAAAAGCTAAAACAGCCAGAGGGGGAGAATGACACACCTACCTTCAGAGTAACAACAGTAAAAGATTTGACAATTGTCTTCTCAACAGGTTGAATAGGAGGAAGGGAGATAGACCACTGCAGTTACTACAGTAGTTCATACTGGAGCTAGTGATTGGTAGTGTGAATAGATTGAACAATGTGAATAGATTTTGTGAAGTAAGTTAGTGGTCTTCAGACTGGCGTATTGAGAGATATAGAAAGAAGAGTTCGCCAGTATGTGTATACTTTTAAGGAAATCAATTTCTAAATCCTCAAACATCTGTTCTTTTTCTAAAATTGAGCTCTCTGGTGGAAGTATCATTGCAATTTCTCCTCCTCATTTCTACTTTCTACAATTACTCTTTAAAAAAAAAGATTTTATTTATTTATTTTTTTAGAGAGAGGGGATGGGGAGGAAGACAAGGAAACATCAATGTGTGATTGCCTCTTACACACCCCCTACTGGGAATCAAACCTGCAACACTGTGGTTTGCAGGTCCGCACTCAATCACTGAGCCACACCAGCCAGGGCCTTTCTACAGTTCTTACTTTGCAAAGAAAAGCATACCTCCCTTCATTTTTACTATGGTATATTACATTCTAATTTAAAAAGCCTCCACGTTGCATAAAAAAGGAGTATTTTTGAAACATTGGTATTGATGTATAGAAAGTGAATTTCAATAACTAGTTGTCAGATTCTTTTGCAAGTCAGATGGTTTTCAGTCCTTTGCTTTCAACACAATGGCTTATTTGCTGCATTATTAAAAATAACTTTTTTGTTCATCATGTATTTTTTTAGCAAATAACTCAGGAGATGCTCAATGAATTGAGTAATGTACTAAGAAAAACTTCTTTCAGTTCTACCTATTTATGAGTAAGATTTCTGAGGGCAAAGACATAAATTTATAAAAATAAAAGTAGAAACACAGTTGTGATTCCTGGATTCATAATTGGAAGGGGAAAGAGCCTCATCCCCCTCATTAAGAGTTGACACGGTAAAATATTTCATATTTATATGTTTTATGTACACCCTATAATTATGTTGTTTTTAGTGAGGTGTATACTTACAATAATTTGGATAACTCAATTCTGGTAAAATAACACTTGGATTTTATATGCACAAGAAATTTTAAAATCTTGAATGTACATAACATAATTTAAAGAAGTAGAATAAAAAAGTGCAGAACTTTCAAGTGTAAAGGTTAAATAAACTGGTTTTAAAATTTTGTTGAGAAAGTAAAAGATATAAATTCTTAATTGAGAAAAGGTGGTTTGCAGTTTTTTTAAATGGATGATAATATCACATCACTGTGGGATTTAGTTTACATTGGAAACATTTCAGAGTGAAGGGACAATTTGATGTTAACATTAGTAATGAAAAGTTGAGATGTTAACTTACATGTGCAGATTTACACAGTGCAACACACATGATGTATTCTAGAATTGTACATTTAAAACAGTTTTGTTAACCAATGTTACCCCAGTAGATTTATTAATTTTTTAAAATTTAAAAGTATTTCAGCAACTGTATGAATAAAATCTTTTAGAAATCACTGGCAAGGCCATTGCTAGAGTGGGGCAAGGAGGCACCTAGGGTACAAAATTTAAGGTCTCATTCTCAGAGAACCTAAGAGTAAGTGGCTCCTTAAATTGCATGCCTGAAGTTCTTTTTGCTCCCCCTAGACTCAATTCTGATCACTGGATTACTACAACATAAGGAATTTGTGGAAAATTGGCTCCCGAAAAAATAATTGCAGATATCAATCATTTCTTATTTGTTTTTTAGGGTAGGATTAAAAACTCAGCCTGAATCAAAATGCCCTGAGCTGCTTGCCAATTACTGTGACATGTTGCTAAGGAAAACACCATTGAGCAAAAAACTAACCTCTGAAGAGATTGAAGCAAAACTTAAAGAAGTGGTACATTTTTTTTATTTCAGAATTTTTAATGACCTTACTTTGCATTTGTGTTTTGCTTATTAGATGTTATGTGATACCATCAATTTTTAAAATATGTATCTGTAAGCATCTGGTAAGAATTTTATAAGATGTCTATAGTCTTTTTTCTTTCTGAAAATTTTTATTTTATAGCTTCCAGAAAGGGCAGTAGCATTTAATTGTCCCCCTTTATTGATTCTTTTTAGATAATTACATTGTAGCACCTGTTAAAGGTAAAAAACAACAGTAACAACAACAAAAGGTTGGGGGAATCATGCTGATGGTGATGGGATGATTGTTGATAGACAGGGAGTTTTTCTCTTCTTTTTGTGAGTCTGAAATAGGTAATTAGGAACTAGTGAGTGTAAATAAATAATTGCTTTTATTTTTGTTTTTTTCCTGGTTGTTAGTGTAATGTAATATAAGCCCAGGAACACAAAGAGGAAAATAATAAGTAAAGATATATATATATAGAGAGAGAGAGTATAAACAAAATAGCCTAAAGACATTAGTGTAAGAAAAAAAGTGAAGAAGATCTGTAGAAGAGAATATTGGGAAGAACCATTGCTTTTCATGTAAAGTTTATTTTTTATCATCATGTAAAGTTTTATCACATTTATATAAAATTTCAAAAATTGATGTTTATAGGATTTAAAGGTTGTTTGGTTATTGTGTCAAATGTACTGATTTGTAAGGTAGTATATCAAGACTGGTTATTTTTCAGAGATGAGCAGTTAGTTGGCCTCTCTCTATATATGCTTATATAAATTTTTTAATTTTGACAATTGGGAGATATAGAAAGGTCTAAATGAAAGAAATGGCTAAGCATATATATGAATTGACAGTAACTTTGTTTTCTGTACAGCTCTTGGTACTCAAATACGTGCAAAACAAAGATGTTTTTATGAGATATCACAAAGCTCATTTGACACGGCGTCTTATATTAGACATCTCTGCTGACAGTGAAATTGAGGAGAATATGGTAGAATGGCTAAGAGTAAGTAATTTTTTGTTAATATTTATTCTTAATATAGCACATGGTTTGTGTGTGGTTAAGTGATGCATTTTGTTGTGCTATCTTTAATGTCAAAGAAATAGGGAACATTTTATAAGCATATAAATCAATTCTATTAAAAATGTGGTATCTGATAAAGTATATTTTTTAAATAAGGACTTTTAGTGAAGCACCTTCACTCTTATTGGGACTGACCTTATTAAATAATGCTACAGGACAAATCATTTCATTTTTAAGGTGTTTTCTGTACTAAATACTTAACTATTGATATGTTTGTAAATACTTTTGTGTAGCAGAAATAACTAATAGGTAAATAATGATGGCTTATTTAGGGCATTCATAACTAATTTTGACAAAATTCCTCTATCAAAATGTTTTTGTTCCTTTCAGTTGATTTTAATAGAATTTGAGTTATATTAAAATGGGTTTTTAATTTTTACATATGGTATTACATATTATATTACTAGATTAATATATAACAAATGTATATATAAGAATTATATACATTGTTATATCTGAGGGGGTACCCAATAAAAACCAGAATTTATTTATTAAAAATTGTGTACTTATTCTTACGTGTTTAAACTTCAGTCACCTTCAATGTACTCTCCATTTGATGCAGTATTTTCCACTGCTCAAAACAGTTTTTGAATCAACAATTTTGATGCCTTTTAGTGTCTCTGCCATTTTTTGTTTCACCTCTTCCACATTGGCAAAATGTTTCCCTTTGTGGAATTTTTTCATCCAGGGAAACAAAAAGAAGTCACTCGGGTGAGATCTTGAATAGGAAGGGTGGGCACAGAGGTCATACTGTTTTTGGTTAAAAACTACTGAGCACTCAGCACGGTGTGGGCAGGTGCACTCGTAAGTCACCCATCACGAAATGGGCAAACGTGCTGAAAGACTCGTCAAAAAAATTCCCTGAAACCAAAAGCAGCCTCTCACAACGGTGCCAGCTGGTGCACTGATACAGATGGGTTCCTTGAACACTCACCTAGTGTTACATACAAGGGGACCACCCTCCAGAAGGTAATTAAGGTTTTATTAGGATCCCTCCTTGTATGTTTTTCATTTGTGTTTATATATTTCAAATTACATGTTTGCCGAGAACCCTGCTTTGTAGTGTGGCATAGTAAAACTTACGCAGATTGGTACTAGGCAAAGTGATCTTAATATTAACAATCAGTGGGAACAATTATTGTTTTGTGACTGATTTCAGAAATTTTTGTCAAAACATTAAAAACTCCCACCGTCTATTACAAATATGTAGGAAAAGGGAAAAACTAATGTGTATTTATACACAAATTTAATACACAAAATTATACACAAGTTAATACACAAAATTAATGTGTATTTATTATACCATAATTTAAAACGTAGACTTTAAGGGTTAAAATGTTTTATTTGTGAAAAAACTTAAGTAGATAGGGAAGCATTTGCAATTCTTATATCTGCCATATCTAAAACATATAAAGACTCTTACAATTTAACAGTAAAAAGACAATTCAATTAAAACTACACACAAGATTAGAATAGACATTTCTTCTCAGAAAGCACACACATGGCTAATAAGTTTATGCTAAGATTCTCAACATCATTAATCATTATGGAAATACTAATCAAAGCCACAATGAGATACCACTTTACTCCCACTAGAATAGCTAAAAATTTAAAAGGAAGAGGAGAAATTGGAACCCTACTTATTGCATTGCTACTGAGAGTATAAAATGGTGCAGCCACATTGGAAAACTGTTTGGTAGTTCCTCAGAAAGTTAAGCATAGAGTTGATCTAATAATTCTACTGTTAGGTAGTTCTACTCAAGAGAAATAAAAACATGACCACACAAAAACTTGTATGTGAATGTTCCTAGCAGCATTATTCATAATCGTCAAAACCTTCCCAAAATGTAAATCAGTTGATGAATAATAACATGGTATATTCGTAAAATGGACTCTTACTTGGCAATAAAAAGAAATGAAGAATTGATAGAAGCTACACCATGGATGAACTTTCACAATATTATGCTAACTGCAAAGTCAGTCACAAAAGAGTACATACTGTATGATTCCACTAATACAAAATGTTCAAAATAGCTAATCCTGTACAGACAGAAAGTACACTAGCGGTTTCCTGGAGCTAGAGAAAGGAAAGTGGGGAATGACTTCTAGTAATTATGGATTTTCTTTTTAGGATGATGAAAATATTCTAAAATTAGATGGTGGTGATTGTTGCATAACACTGTAAATGCTGTACAAAAATCCAGTTAATTGTACACATTAAAAGGGTAAATTTGGTGGTAGATAATTATATCTCAGTAACATTGTTATTAAAATGAACAGTAGATTGACTAGCATTTACCTTCTTATCATGTGACTTCCAGTACAAAGTGAGATCTTTGTATGCCTTGGAGAGTTGTCATACTTTCTGTAAGTTTGGATCCACTTCCAGCATTTTTTCTTTCGGAGTTTTCAATGTTGTAAAACTTTTTGCTTGCATAACATCCACTGGGGCTTCCTAATCTTTTTTGTCACTACGACTTTTCTCATTTATGTTGGTTATTTACCTTCACAAAGTTTCTATGCTTCTGCATATTTAGATTCTTCAACATTGGCAGTATCAACATTACATCCCAGTCAGTTCTTTCTTCCATACTCAATTTATGTTCTATTTTATTTTCATTTGCAGCATTACTTTTATTTCATTGGTATACTTTTATCATCTTTACTGGCGAATTACCTCTCGATTATCCATTTTTGTAAATGTCATGTGGATTTATCATTACCACACAGGGATGCAACAAGACTACATGTTTTGCTGTCTGTCGGTGAACTATAAAATGATTAACAGATTTTAAAAGAAATATTGTGGTTCGTCACTGATGGGGTGTGCTCTCTTACTTGTGTAGTCATTTGCAGATTGAGGAGCTAGAAGTGAAGTTTGTAATTTATGCATTACTCATATTTAACATATCGTGGTAACTGAAAGTTGAACTGTGTTGTTAGGAGACTGATATTATTTATTATCTATACTGTAGTGACTCAAATTCATGCTTATTGGAATTGTGCAAAGAAAGCCAAGATTGTCTGTACAATTCTATTTAGTTTCTAAGAATCAAGTTTAATAGATACTAGACTATAAACATTGTAGTAAATAAGAGGAAGAATTTCTTATTAAAGGATCTAATATATATGAATATATTTTAGCATCTAAGATGTACTGATGCATCTAAGATTAAAGCATTTTAGTTTTCTATTTAAAATTTTCCTAATAATATATCACATTATATATTATTACCTCTTCTGTCTTTGGTTTTCATAGGAAGTTGGTATGCCAGCAGATTATGTAAACAAGCTCGCTAGAATGTTTCAGGACATTAAAGTATCTGAAGATTTGAACCAAGCTTTTAAGGAAATGCACAAAAATAATAAATTGGCATTACCAGGTATTTTATAATTTATATATTATACACATTATACTTTTAAAAACTTTTTTAAAAAGGAATATCTTTGTTTTCCAGTAAATTAAAAATAAATCTTGGGCCCTGGCTGGTGTGGCTCAGTGGATTAAGTGGATTAAGTGCAAACCGAAGGGTTGATGGTTGAATTCCCAGTCACAGCACAGGCCTGGGTTGCAGGCCAGGTCCCAAGTGAGGGGCGTGTGAAAGGCAACCACACATTGATGTTTCTCTTCCTCTCTTTCTCCCTCCCTTTCCCTCTCTCTAAAAATAAATAATAAAAATAAAATCTTTTTAAAAATAGATAAACCTTGACAGTAATAGATACAAAGATGTTGCAAATACCACATTCCTTGAAGATATTCTGCAAAACAATTTAGACTTGTTGATCCTTATTTTGTAAACAAAAATACACTTTTAACAAAATCTTTAGTTTTGTTTATTTTTCACCAAAGCTTACCCTGTACATATGTATGTGTTTATTTGTATTGAATTTTATCCATTGTCCAGATTTACTCTATATTTTTCTGATACTCTTGCCTATAGCTGATTCAGTTAATATAAAAATTTTGAATGCCGGTGCCTGGTCAAGAAGCTCTGAGAAAGTCTTTGTCTCACTTCCTACTGAACTGGAGGATTTGATACCTGAAGTAGAAGAATTCTATAAAAAAAATCACAGTGGTAGAAAATTACATTGGCATCATCTCATGTCAAATGGAATTGTAAGTAGATAATGTTATTAGTCAAGATATTGGTTTGGCTGAAAGTAGCAAGTAAGAGTTGCTTAAACAAGATAAATTTGCTTCTCTCACATGTAAAAGTTTGAGCAGGAATAGTGGATCTCTTCCATGAACTTGTTAGGGACAGAAGCTTCTGGTAATAGCACCGTCTGTAAGATATTAAATATGATCCTTACTGTTTCTTTCAGCACAGCAGAAAGATGGGTATATATGTTCAGTTAAGGGCAACTTCTAGAAGTTCCCTCCCATATTTCCACTTGTATCCTATTGGCCAAAACTCAGTCACATGGCTACATTTTCTTTTAAGGAAAGTTGAGAGAGAATCCTCTGTTCTGGACTGTCATTGAGGTCTGCCAAACATGTTCCTACCATGTAAGAAATTGAGAACAGATATTGGTAGACAACTACCAGTCTTTCCCATATATAATCTCATGTAAGAGATATTACAGTAGAGAGATGGTAGTCAATATGAAAAAGATTCTTATTTTTAAAATTTTATTTTATTATAGATAACATTTAAGAATGAAGTAGGTCAATATGATTTGGAGGTAACAACGTTTCAGCTGGCTGTGTTGTTTGCATGGAACCAAAGACCCAGAGAGAAAATCAGCTTTGAAAATCTAAAACTTGCAACTGAACTCCCTGATGCCGAGCTTAGAAGGACTTTATGGGTTTGTTTGTTTTGTGATTTTAAAATTATGTCCTGTCAGCAGAAAATGTGTTGGCTTGCTTATAATAAATTTATGAACTCATAACATTCTCAAGTCCATTTTGACTAAAAAAATACACTAATGAGGTATTTATGGACTATAATAAATTAAAAATAAACAGGTTACTAAAGTGGATAAGGGCAAAAAACAAAAAGATCAAAAGATTGAGTTCGTGGTTAAATATTACCTATGAGGAGTGCGACAAAAGGTTCATAATGAGCATGTGTTTAAAAGATTTTATGATGACCAGAAATTTAAGAATTAGACAACTTTGGCTCTGGGAGCTACCTTAGTTAGAGCATTACCTTGATATGCCAAGGTTGTGGGGTCGATCCCTAGTTAGGGCACATGCAAGAATCAACCAATGGATGCATAAATAGGTGGAACAAGAAGTCTGTCGTCTTCTCTCTCTCCCCACCCCCCCTCTAAAATCAATCAGTTAAAAAAAATTAGACAACTTTGGTCCTTCCTGTGGGCTTGTAAAATGTACTCATTAGCCTCTTCCTTGTAACATTTTATCTCTACTCTATAGACTTCTTAAAAGTTCCAAAATAAATGATTACCTAGAGAGAAGCAGCTGGTATATAACTGGCAAGTGGTGTTTGTTGTGGGCCATGTATGACCAGTTTCTCCAGTTTCTTAGTGTAAAGAGAACATTTGTTTCCTCATAACCAACTCGTTTCTCCTCATTCTCGCTGTCCTTATTATACATTTACATTATTATGTTCATAGAGGTACCAAATAAAAGTTTGAATTGTGAATTTGTGCTTATAATGCTTTTTTACTGCTATTAGTCATGTTGGAGAAGTGATCTTAGTATTTAATGCTTTTAACAAATGCTAATTTTTCTCTTTATTTTATAGTCTTTAGTAGCTTTCCCAAAGCTCAAACGTCAAGTTTTACTGTACGAACCTCAAGTCAACTCACCCAAAGACTTTACAGAAGGTACCCTCTTCTCAGTGAACCAGGAATTCAGTTTAATGTAGGTTTATGTTGGTTGATCTAAAATAGAAATACCTTATTTGAATTTTAGTGCTTTATTTTTAACAAAGTAATTAGTTTTCTTACATGATATTTAAAACACATCTGTGTACTCATTATTCTAACTCAGCAATTTTCCGCCTTTTTTGTCTCATGGCACATATAAACCAATTACTAAAATTCTATGGCACTCCCAAAAATATAATTTTTGGCCAATCTGACTGAAAAAGTTAAATATAATTTTGCTTCATTCACACTGGACAGCTGTTGTTGCATTGGCTGTTGTCATAGTCTAAGGGAGAAGAGGTCAGTGCCCCTGACTAAATAGTCAGGTTTTGCATGTTTTAAAAATTCTGTGGCACACCAGTTGAAAATCACTCTACATTTATGCCATTTAGTTGTTTATTAAACATTAATGAGCTAGAGATGTTTACTTCTTTACATATTTTTCATGGGTACATTTTGGTATCTGACATTATGCTATATTGCTTTTCATGTTTAAAGTAAACTATCCTTTTGCATTTTAAAGTATCTATCCACACAAAGCTTTTTTTCCCCCTTAAGATCCAGTTAGAAGATAATGCTGAATTACAAGCTATATATCTTCAGTTATCTAGTTACTTTCATGGCAATGTAAAATATATTAATTTTGTTATTACAGGAAGTATAGTCACCCATATTTTACTAGCAGGGCCTTTATTGTGTTTAAGGGAAATCACAGTGTTCATTTCAAATAAAGCTACGTATGTTGGTTATTTTTTACCTTTCCTTCAAGCAATTCTGGATATTAAGTTTTAGAATATTTCTAACTCTTCTCTCAGATGTTGCTGTAAGTATGATGTTTACAAGGCCTCTCCTGTAAAGTATTTCTTTCAATGTTTTTCGTAGAAAAAATGCAAAAGTTCAGAAGAGGGGTAAAATCAACTTGATTGGACGCTTGCAGCTCACTACAGAACGAATGAGAGAAGAAGAGAATGAAGGAATAGTTCAGCTACGGATACTGAGGACCCAGGTTTGTAATGTTAAGACAGAATATCTAAGTTTTGAACAACGTTGGCCATTGTGGTGGTGTTTAAATCTTCACACATTTTTCTTGAATTTAAAAACATGTAGGTATGCAAACTTTTTGTAAGGTAGAGCTACTTTTCATTTTACTAGAATTTAAAAATTGTATTGATGGTGTTCTCTTAGCCGCAGAAAAAGATGTCTATATGGCTTTGTGGACTCGGGTAGATTCTCTTGGTTGGGAAAACCTTGATTTTAGGTTATGTCTTCATTTGACCATATCTGAGTAAATGTGTCTCAGCAGCAAATTACAGTTCTAGGATTGATATATTTAAATTTTTATTTGACTTCTTATTCTATTATAATATGAAATTAGGGAACATTTTAAAACTAGGCTTATGATATTCTGAACATGATAATGAATACCTATTATAAGCTAACATGATTGTTTTAATTTTACAAATAGTTCTATTAAAACCACGTGCCATACTTTTACAGTCTTTACTTAGTGTTGTTTGAAACTACTGGCCAATGCAATGAAATACAAAACAAATAATAGGAAAATAGTTAGATTTTTTTTTGTTGCTTAGAGATCATATAATAATAAAGGAACAAAGATGAATAAATAAAAATTGCATTTCTGTTTTTCAGTGAACAAATTGTAAAACTTAAGAGGAAAATAAGACACCAGAAAATCCAAAGATTTTGTTGTTATCTTTTTTAAATTGATTTTAGAGAGAGAGAAACATCGGATTGTTTTTCCACTTATTTATGCATTCATTGGTTGATTCTTATATGTACCCTAACTGGGGATCAAACCTGCAAACTTGGCATGTCAGGATGATGCTTTAACCAACTGAGCTACCTGGTCAGGTTGCATAGGCATTTCTTTAAAAAGTAGTTTATGGGTCTTTATGTGAAGAGAGTGGCTCTTTACTGAGAGAGTCAAAAGATTTGAATAAATATATCATGCTCTTTTTCTTCTAAAATTTTTAGTGAGGTATAATTTATGTAAGATAGAATATTCATTTCAAAGTATAGTTTTCAATGAGTTTTGATAAATGTATATACCTGTGTGACCATCACTTCATTAAAATACAAAACATTTCTATCACTCCAGTAATTTCCCCATGTCTCCCATCCAGCCAATGTCCCTCCCTTCCAACCCACTTCATTCCTATCACCATTGCTTAGTTTTGCCTGTTACAGGTCTTCATATGAATTGAATCAGTGTATGTATCTAGCTTGTATCTAGTATGTATCTGTATTTTTTGTGTCTAGCTTTTTTTGCTCAACATGAATACTGTATTCTTTATTTGTATTTTTTAAGTGATTTGAGAGAGACACACACATTGATTTGTTGTTCCACTTTTTTGTGCACTCATTAATGGAATTTTCTATGTGCCCTCTCTGGGGATCGAACCTGCAGCATCGGTGTATCCAGATGTTCCTCTGACCAACTAAGCTACCCAGTTAGGGTGAAATACCATATTTTTTAATGATAAGGCTAAATAACTTAATGAGTCAGTTTTTTCCATAATATCAAGTTTACTGAATTCATATAAAAATTCAACTAGAAATATTTTTGGAATTTTACATATTAATTTTCAGTTTTATCAGAAAGAATGAATATGATTGAAAACCTTAGAAGAATAATAAGTTGATGGTAGTTGAACTTGCCTTGCCAAATATTAAAGCTTATTAAAATATCTACAAAAATAAAGACTACTCTCAAGGATCGTTTCTATAGTTCGTTACTAGAGAAGTTCCTCTGAATGTGTAAAATATCTACAAAAATACAATATGACAAGCAGATTAGTTGAAAAAAACCCCTCAGAATTAAACCTCCTATATAAGTATAGACCAACTTTACAATAAAATAATCTCTATGGCCAATTTAAAGGGAATGGATTATTCAGTAACAAGTTTTAGGAAATTATACTTCTTAGAGGAAAAATTAGGGTATATTCCTAGTTTACACCCCAGGATAAATTTCAGATGGATTTGAGTTGAGATGTATAATGGGATGGCAGGTATAGTCATATAATACTGTAAGGAGTGCAGAGAAAATGAAATATTTTTGTTTTGTCTCAAACTGACCCATAATTATGCCCAGTCTAGTAATCCAAGCTGTTCCTTTAGGTAATGCTGAGACTTTATTTCTCCCTGATCCCATTCCACCCATCCCCATTATTTGCTCTTTTCACAGATGGCATCGGGATGTATTGAGGTTTAGAAGAACTCATTTGAGTTTGTAGCGACAATAAAGGGACTGTTGTATTTATAAGTTGTGATATTGTCCTGGGTTCTTGCTATGGACAGCTTATCTGTCACCTATAGGAATCTGACTTTCTGTTGCTCTCTACTGCTGATGTCTGTAGTAGATGAACTATGGTGTATTCTTTTCCCAGTTGGTAAGGACCACATAGCTACTTCCCTGCTCTCACCTGTCCTGTGCTCTCACTGAGCTCTTTCTTGTGCTTTCAGAGACTGTACCACCACATCTTCTATGTGGCCCCTTGGTCTGTATCACGCATTGTTGTTATCATCTGCTGCTGCAGGTTCACCCTCTCCTGCCACTAAAGGCCCTGTCGCAGGTTTATTAGCTCTAAACTCCATCTGCATCATGTGAGGGAACTGAGAGAGATTCAGAAGTGCAAATTATTTTCATCATATCATTCCCCTCTTCAAGCGACCCCCAGCACATTAGATGGGGACCAGAGCCCGAACCCCTGTGCCTTCTGTTTTTCTCTCGAGTTCTTTAATACAACCACCATCTTCATCTCTATCAAATCTAGAAGGGAGAAATTAGGGCATTTACAGTTGTTCATCTTCTCCTCCCTGCTTCCAGTAGTCTTCAAGTGCTTGAAGGGAGAGACTTTCCCTCTTTCTTCTTTGTGTTTGGACCCTTGACACAGACCCCTGTGATCAAGAGCCTGGTGTCTGGATGTATTGACAGTGGGAAGAATTCACCCAACCTCCTAGTAACAGCAGAGGAATTAAAGAAAGGAGAAATTAAACCATCAAGGAAAACATTGATCACATTGATGTAGATGAAAATGCTTACTCCTGATGAAACTGAAAATATTTAATGAATCAGCACAAAGTGAAGATAATATTTATAACATGTAATTTATTAATCTGACAAATATAAAAAGTAGTGATCACTGATTTTTTAAAACAGATACCAACTAGTTTCTGCTACTATAAACAGGAATAACTGAATACAAGGGGAACATTACGTGGAAGGGGTTTGTTGTATTGTAATTGATTTTTAACACAATACCGGATTATATACATATTATGTTCACAGGTAAGATAAATTTTTTAAATGTATATGGTGTGGAAAAAGCAATGAAAGGACTTGGTCAAAACATTAGATATGGTTTTCTTTCAGCAGAGAGACTGTAGATAATTTCACTTTTCCTCACTTTTCAAAACCTGTAATCAGATTTTTTTTACAGTGGGTGAAAAAAGATATTTTTATTTGTTAAGTAAAAGATACTGGTCTCAGTTTTAATCAATGATTGCAGCAATTTTCAACCTTTTTATCTCATGACATATATAATCTAATTACTAAAATTCTGTAGCACACCAGAAGAATATATATACCAGCCTGTCAAAAAATAGGTATAATTTTGATTGATTTACAATTAATAATAATAATAATAATAGTAATTACCAACACTTTTTTCCCAAAGTGACTTTTTTAAAAATCAAGTGCTTATACTTGTATATAAGGATTTCTGGTACTAAGAACTAACCAGTCAGACTCCATCTTATGATACGACATGACCAGTAAGACATAACTCTTGTCAGATGACCTATATATTTATAGTTCAAGACAGGGTGTTCACACCAGACTGTTGTTGTGTTGGGCATTGTCGTTTTTTTATTTGTCAGTCTAAGGGAAAAGAGGTCAGTGTCCCTGACTAAAGAGTCATATACTTGCACATTTTAAAAATTCTCGTGGCACACTGCAGCACACCAGTTGAAAATTGCTGTCTTAGTGGTTGTAATCATTTGGCTAGATGTTGGATGGAGAGTGAAATATATCAAAAGTCCTTTTTTTTTGTTTTCCTTAAAACAATTTAGTATATTAATTCTCTTTCATTTTTTTCTTTTAGGAAGCTATCATACAAATCATGAAGATGAGGAAGAAAATTAGTAATGCTCAGCTGCAGACTGAATTAGTAGAAATTTTGAAAAACATGTTCTTGCCACAAAAGAAAATGATAAAAGAGCAAATAGAATGGCTAATAGAGCACAAATACATCAGAAGAGATGAATCTGATATCAACACTTTCATATATATGGCATAATTTTGAATATCATGGGCAATAATAAGAACCCAAAATTTGGAGTGCTTGGGCAGAAAGTTGTAACAGCTTGTGCTGGAGGAAGGTTTATTTGGACTTCAATTACATAAATATTAAAATCTCTGCCTTACCTAACAAAACAACTCTGTTTTGCCAATCACATTAGTTAGCATGATGGCATTCCCTTCATGTTACACACTCTTTAACAGCATGCTGTTTTGTGGAGACACTTGCATTCATGAAGAGCCCTTTATGAACTTTTAAAAGTAAAATTTGACTTATACCCACCAGAAGAAATACAGTTGGGAAGGGTGAGGGTGGGGTTCTTACTGCTTTTTGTCCCTCTTTTTCCCCTTCTCACAAAAATGTACTTGCACAAGGGAGGATCTTCACATGTTTGTGCACTGAAAAATGCTGTTATGTTTTGTTTTTACAATGCAATTAAAACCAGAAATAGCACTCTTGGTTTCTGTTGATCAAAAGAGTGAGCTGGTCTACCCAACATTGGGAGAGGGCAGGAGTAGGTGAGAAGATAAGTATTTAGTAAGTATCAAGTTGTTTGTTCAAACATTGCTTCGGCATAATAACCGGATTTTAATGGTGGCCTAAAAATGGTGTTAAATTTTTCCATCTCACAGATACTGGCTTGCTTTAATCAGGAGACTGTTGTTTTAGTTGTTTGTTGTTAAAGGATAAGGAGTATTTTTTATCTTATATGGTTGGAGAGCTTGTTTGGAAAAAGTGGGCCTTATATTAATGATTTCTTCAATTTTTTTAAAAGTATGAAGATAAGTAGGTCATTTTGATTGCAGAGTCAAAATAGTGAAATTAGGTATACTTACTAATACACTACATATATAAAACAAATATTAGGTATACATATAATATATGTATAATATATGGTATAATATATGTATACCTAATGTATGTATAATATATGTATACTTACTATTTGTTATGTCATACTCAAATTTATTAAAAACAAGGCAGAATCTCCTGCTCTCCTATAATACAGTTATGTAACTGATCCCTTAATTTGTAGCATAGAAATATTTTGGTATTTTAAAGTCTCTTGGTTAGGGATTTGTAGCCTCAGGTTTCTGGAAAGGAAGACATTCTCTTTTTAAAAGTAGTAATTATTAGTCATTTAGGATGAGAAAAACCACCGCATAGGGAAAACCTGAAAAGCATAAGCAAAATTGTTGCGATCTTAATATGAGCAGTAAACTTGCCAAATATATGTACATATATATTTATATATTTTAAAAATAAACATTTTTAAATGTTCAGAAGGCAATTCTTACCTTGTTCCTTTTAGTCAATCCAAAGTAGCAACTTATTAGTTGCCGGTAACTGAATATCCAGAGTAGTAAAGAGTTTCAGATTTCACAACATGAACAACTTAAAAGAGAAAAACATATTCCCCATTGGGAAAGTATGGTGCAACGGATTTTTATTCATTATGGTACATGTTTCAAATTTTCTTGGACCTTATTGTATATCTGGTTTGATATTGAGTAAAATTTCTAACATATGGTTTTGAAGAGAGTAGGAAATGGGGTGCGGGAGCACGGAAAGGCGTCCAGCAGCACTGCAGAGTGGAGTCAGCCCCCAGTCCCCGAAGGCTTTGTGAACTACCTGGTGAAAGGAAGGAAAGCAAATTTAAAACACTTAAGGTTTTGTTGGTTATACTCAAATGCCTGTTCTGAAGCTGATAAGAAATTGGAGTTTTGTTTCTAATTTAAAATCTTAACACTTGAGCTCTAAGGTAGCATATGTAAATTATTAGACCAAGTATATATATGGTGAAGACTTAAATTAGTGCTCACCTTTTTCTCTAATTAAATGACTGCTAACAATGGAAAAAATTTTTACAAATTGTAATAATTGTGGTCCTCATGCTTAACAGATATTTTTCTGTTGGCATATTTGCTTATCTAATATAAGAATGCCAAAGGAAACAAGAATGGAAGGAAATGTTACAGGCTATTTTTTAAAGTTTAAGATTTGTTGTTTTAAATCATAATTGTTCTCAGAACTTTTGTGGAATTTCTAAAGAAAGAAATTTAAGAGTAAAAGCCATGATGTTTTGATTTAATAAAGGCAAATTTAATGCAAAAGTGGGTAACTCATAGCAAACTTTTCTATTAAATTTTATAAATTTTTAAGTAGCTAATTATGTCCTAATCGTATTTTTGGGGAACATAACAGCAGTAAATACTATAGGTTCACAGTTTTCATAATTTTTTTGTTATATACACAAATGTTTAAGTACTTTTTGGTGTATATGAAAACCATTCAGTTGACAAGGTGTCTATACCATTACTGAATTTCCTTTAAATATGTTTTGATGATACGTTTGCTAATTTAAATAAAAAGAATCTGAAAAAAAAAAAAGCTTACCAGCAATTTGCTAAAGACAGAATCAAAGTTAGTATTCTTTATCAGGTTCCTATTCTATAACGTGCACTTAAAATTAGTGCTATCTGAGCAGGAATGAAACTTGACATAGTTAAGGGGAAAAAAAAATATATATATATATCTTTTGTTTTCCCCATAGGTAGTATGGCAATAGGACTCTTCACAGGTTAATTTAAGCTTTGAACATTTGTCTTCTAATTTAAAGCTGAAGTCATCTCCAGAACGTTAGCCTTTATTGCCATCTCATTGCCAGAGTAAATAGAATGAAAATAAATTTACAAAGTAAAAATATAGAACAATTTTAATGCTTACAATGAGATGAATATTAGACCATTATGGTTCCAGTGATTTGATGAGGATCTTGAAATAAATTCTGAAGTCTTCCAATTTTTACATTTATCGGAGAGGTCTCTGCATTTTGTCAGCCTGTTTGTTTAAGTCTCTTACTTTGTGCATAAATGTCAAAATTCTAAAAAATGGAATGCTAGCTTTTTTGTTTTTACTTCCTATTAAATTTAATACAAAATATGACTGGGGTAGTTTAAAAGCATTATGTATTATTTGCAGGAGGATTTCATTAGCCCCCAAAGGGCAAATTTTAAAAATTCAATTTGGGTGAAAGATTTGCTAATTTGCCAGAAAGATTTGCTATCTTAAACTCAAGGTGGTTTTTCTATTTTCTTGTAAATGACTGGAATGCTATCTTACAAACTTCCAAGGTCATGTTTGTGAGTTAAACATTAAATGAGGGCTTTCCTGTCATCTACACTATATATGTCTTCTGGAGTGTTGAACAAATTTGAGTTCCTAAGTTGTAACCTATCCTCGGATGGTATATACAATTTTGAATGTGTGCCACTACATACTGAGATGATAATGCTGTACACTTTTAAATAGTAGCAGTTTCTGTATGCAGTAGGCTGAAATATTTTGATGAACTGCTTAATTTTTGAATTTTATTTTTAAGTTGTATAATTTATTTTCTTGCAAAATAAAAATGTAATATAAAAGCTTCCACTTACCCAGAAAATGTTGATGTTCTACTGTAAAATAAGTCTTTAAGAGTTTAAAATTTTTATAATAGGTATATTTATATAGTTCATGGCAAAATAGTAAATCTCAGCCAGCCTTTGGAATCAAAAATATGAAAAGTAACACATTTATTTCTCTTAGATTTCAAAGTCTAGTTCAAAATGAAAGCTGTCAGGAAACGTAGCTTTGCCATTGATTTCAGCAGATGCTTCTCATGCCTGGAAGAGGTCAAAATTCCAAACCTGAAAGGGGTTAATACATTCATTCATTAGTTTGGATAGGCCTTGTCCTAACTAAAATTTAAATTTCATATTAGATGAAAGTTAAAAATATAAATTATTCCATGTTTGGTATATATTTGAAAACTTGTGAAATATTTAAGTTTTGAAGCTAGAGACAGTTTAGTAATAAGGTGTTAGTAGGGAGGGACGGAGGGAGGGAGTGGGGCTTAGGAATACCTCTTTACAAGGTTATTTTCCTGTAACTGGAATTTTTTTCTTCTGCTCTATATTAGCCCCTGCATTCCAAGAGAAGACTTTGCTTTGAGAAAATAAGCAGACAAAAAAAGCCAAGGCCTTGGGCACAAACTTTCATAACTTGCCATCTCTCCACTTCTAAACTTCACCTCTAACAGTGTATATCTTCACCTACCTCCCCGTCTCAGAGGAAAGAGATACCTTACTTCTTCTTACTCAAGGCCAACTGTTCTACCTCTTCACTGAATCCCTTCTGCCTCCTGTGTTTTACTAAAAAAATATCTACATTTCCTCTGTCTTCCAGACATACTTCTTTTGGTTATTTCCTTCTTAACCTACAATAGGGGTTCTCAAAGTTTTGATCTACAGACCATCAGCATTATTATCACTTGAGAACTTGTTGGAAATACAAGTTCTTGAGCCCTACTTCAGCCTGCTGACTCAGAACTCTCCAGGCAGGGCCCTGCAATCTAAATTTTAATAACTCCTCCAGGTGATGCCAGCACACACTGGCTTACAAACATAATCAAGTGTCCACCATCCTTTAAAAAATGCCTTCCTGTGCCCTGATCCAGCACTATGCCTCACTGCACTATGTATTATGACCTTATTTTCCCCTTTCCTCTACTCTTTGCTAAACATCTTAAAAGTAGTCCATAGTCTGATTGTCTCTTCTTCTGCTTGGTACTTAGGGATTTATGTTCCCACTGGTCCTCTTGCCGAGGTTATCAGTGAATGCCCATTTGCACCTTAAACATTCCTAGTTATTGAATTTGTTTCATCCCTTAGCTTTGAAGATGCCATTGTCTCCTGGTCTCACATTTCTTTCTCAGCTTTCTCTGCCTTGTCATCTGCACTTTTTCTCACTGTACACCTCAGGATTTCATCTCAGTTCTCTACTGTCGCTGAGCTGCTGCCTCTTCCTGGATGACTGCATCTACTTCCCTGGCTTCAGTCACTATCTGCATGTTGATCCTCCAGACTGTCTCCAGCCCACCTTTCCCTCCTAAGATCAACATGTGTTTCCAGAAATTTCTCGAACAACTCATCTTTCACAAACTTGTTCTACTTAACAACTATGTCAGTCTCCCAGGTTAGGAATTTTGATGTAATCTCTATTGCTTCCTCCCCATACCACATTATAATTCTGCTTCTGTATTATCTCTAGAATCTGACCTTTGTTTACCTTCTACTGTGTTCACTGAATAAAAAAGAACATTTTATAGTACACTTATACCATCTGAGGTAAGGACTAGGTGCTGGGTTGCTTCTTGGCCTGCATTTTGAAGTAGACTCAGTGTACAGAATGGTAAACTGTGGTCAGTAAGAATACATTTGCCTTAAATCAGGCGTTTCTGGACCACTAGCCTGTCCCCACTTTTTCCCTTAATTGAGCCAATACCTCATTGTCTGAGACCTGACACACCGATGTGACATGAATCATTCCCTTAGCCTATGGCTGAGGGATCATTCCAAATCTAAAGCATAAAGGCAGGGAAAAGATTTTCATCATTTAAAAATTTCTCACGC